TATATATATATATATATATATATGCATTTAATGAAAGGCTATAAATGGTAAAAGTTTATGAAAGTTTATAGAAAAGGATAGGAAAAATGTTTAAGGAAAAGTTTCAAAAAAAATGACTATAAAAAGTTTAGTATAATCTTTTATTGTTTTAATTTCATGTTTAATGAACTTTTTTAAATTATTTTATGAATTTAAGATAAATAGTATTACCTGCTGAGCATTCGCTCACCCTGCTTTTGGAAATATTTTTCAGGAGAAACTGATAGGAAGTGATCGCAACACGACAGCTTACCTACCGTCGTAGAGGACCTCAAAATGTCAGGTTTTTATATTTCTATTATGAGTTGAGTCAGTGCATGTATTATGGAGTCAGTTGGTTTGTTTTGTTTATGTTTTAGGTGGATGTATGTTTTGATGAAATTATAGAAAAAATTTTAGTTTGGATGTTTAGTGGCTCTTTCTTACATTGTATGGATGATATTTATATCTTTTATGAAATAAAACTTCTATGATTAAATTTTATATGTATGCTCCGTACGACTAACTGTTCTGGCCCCATTAATTCGGACTTGTCGGGCCGGGTCGTGACAAAACTCCTGTAATTTGCATTCATATACATTTTCCTTTTTATATTTATATTTGTTTTATTTCAATATATATAACTTTTATTTTTTCTCTTCTTTTTCATTTTCCATATAATCACCATTCATATATTTGCAAATATTGTCTATACATATATATAAGTATTATCACTACATGAAATTCAGCTATTACCGGCGGCTATTAACGACGATTAACGATTGATTTACAGCGGTTTTCTCAAACACTGACGGCTTTTCGACGGTGCAAAAACTGCCGGAAAAAAGGGCGTAGGAAACGGTTTCCGGAGGCTTTAGTAACCGACGACTTTCCAGCAACTTGAAAGCTAGTGATTTCCAGCGGTGGTAACGCCGGTGACCGCCGGTTATTACCGGTGGCATACCGGCTGTCGAAACCGCGAGTAAAACCAACGGCTATACCGCCGGTAAAACCGGCGGCTATACAGCCAGTGCATCGCCGGGTGACTGCCGGCAACCACCAGTAAACCGCTGGTTAGTCACCGGCGGCATACCGGCTGTCAGAACCGCAAGAAGTACTAGCAGCTACACTGCCGAAATCTCGTCGGATAACCGCCGCCTAACGTCGGTAAATTGCCGGTAATTACCGGCAGCGTGATTGAAATTCCGACGGCTTTTGAAAGCCATCTGGTATCGAGTTTTCCGACAGTTGAACTGTCAGTTAGCCGTCAAAAAAATGTAGCATCTGAAAAAACTTTGTTTTATATCTACTAAACTATACGCAAAATGAACCCTTGTGCCTCTATTCTGTACTGGATCATACCATTGATAGTTAAACAAGCATACAATATTCTCATCTTCGCCTGGGTACTCCAGATCAAGAACCTCATTCAGAATATCACACTCACCTTCTTCATGAGTATTCCCTCTACTCCCTAAACCCTAAACACATACTCCATAATTTTTAGTTTTTCTTCGTTCACTCCACGACTTGGTATGAAATCTGAACTCATTCACTATATATATTGGTCAGGTATTTACTTTTCGCATTGGGCCCCATGCTAGTGCTTGCAAAACTTTATCGAAACAATTGTTATCATGATTATGTACTTGAAAAAATTTTAAATGTTAGGGTTTTTAGTATTAAATAAGATGTAATTCAAATAAACATTTTAAAATTTATGAACTCACATAAGATCTAAACTAAGATGGGAATTCATTTGCAACAACTTGCTCAATATCCGTAGAATCTATCAGAGGTAAATTGCTTACGAAATATCTAATAACAAATCATCCAAATAATACTTTAGTATTTCAAATAAGCATTACTTATTATGCACATTATGGAAGAACTTACTCTAAGATTGGTTGAACTTACTCTACATATAATATTTATTGATTTCGAAAAAGCATATGATAAAGTTCCAAGAGAAGTGCTATAGAGAGTTCTTGAAAAGAAAGGAGTCAATAATGCTTATATTCAAATCATTAAAGATATGTATGCAGGAGCTATAACTTGTGTTCAAACACAAGGTGGTTTGATCAAGTATTTCCCTATTTCGGTTGGGTTACATCAAGGCTCAGCCTTAAGCCCATATCTTTTTGCTTTAGTCATGGATGTTCTCACTAGACATTTGCAAGAGGATGTACCTTGGTGTATGCTTTTTGTTGATGATATTCTTCTTGTTAATAAGACTAGAGAGGGAGTTGAAGGTAAACTGGAATTATGGAGGTCAACTTTAGAGTATAAAAGTTTTTTGCTTGAGTAGATCTAAAACTGAATATATGGAGTGTAATTTTATTAGAGAGGGTCGCCTTAGATGGTTTGGTCACATAAAAAGGCGGCCTTCCGATGGCCCGGTTAGGAGAGTAGAGGTATTAGATTTGACTTGTGTTAAGAAAGGTAGGGGTAGACCTAAAAAGTCTTAGTTAGAAAATATTAGGAATGACCTTTCTTTATTTGATTTAAACAAGAATTTGACTTTTAATAGGACACAATGGAGAAAAAGGATTCATGTAGCTGACCCCACGTAGTGGGATAAAGGCTTGATGTTGTTGTTGTATAGTTTTGGTAAACTTAAATTTAAATAACTTTTTAATTAATAGTTAATACTTGAGTTAAAAATATTAATAATTGTACATATACACGCACACTAATCTTGTAAGTTAGGTATACCTATATATATCAAAATGTTCAAAATTAAAAATACAATTTAATGAAAATAATATTGATGTTTTATGAAAGAATGATAAAATGGAGTTTGGAAAATTGTTATGCCAAAACATTAAGTTTACATTTTCAAAATTTTGAGTATTATAAACATTCTGCTACGTGAGATTCATTGAAGGTTTTACTAAAAGTAAAGCACATTTGTCCCCTTCAATTTTCAAGAATGTAAAAACATAGCTTGCAAGATGGGCTTAGAGAGGCTTAAGAATAGGTTAACAAGAGCAATGCTCATTATTCCATTTATTAGAGATAAGATTCAATTGTATAGGGATGCCTCTATCAGAGGATTACATTTTATACTAATGCGGCATAGGAAGGTGGTAGCTTATGCTTCACGGCCATAGATAGAGCATGGAAAGAAGTATCAAAAAACATGCCATGGAATTAATTATTATATTTTATTGGAACATTTGGTAAAAATGACAATTAGGGAAAGACCTTTTAAGATCATCATGGTTCATAAGAGTTTGAAATATCAATTTCATTGGAAATAATAGATTTTCTAAAGAATGTGATTTCTCCATAAATTATAATTTTGGAAAAGCTAAGGTAACATTTGAGAAGGGAATTGAAACACAAACCTTAAATCAAAGTCTAGTTATACATGTTAACCTAATTATTAATAATCTCTTGTATGGCATATAATACAAACCTCTTGCCTTGGCCCCAGTTTAAAATACTGGGGTTCATGATCAACAGTAACTAAAGCTGGTTCGCATAGCTTTATTGCTGCATGTAAATCCTTCAAATGCCCCCATTTAGGTTCAGATAACAGACCTAGGTAAAACAACACAATTAGAAACCTCATAACAAATGACAAAAAGGATTTCTCCAAGTAGTAAAATGCTTCACGGCTTATTGCAATAGGAAGATACTAACTATGACATTTCAAAAATTAAAAATAAAAATATAGAGCACGAATGAAGAAATTAACAAACCATATTCATCTATGGGAGCATCATAATCATAACTAGTTATTTGAAAAGGGCCACCAGCTGTTCTGTCAAAGTTTGTTCCGCCAAAAAACTGTGATCACGTAAAATAAGAGAGATCAATTCAGTAAATTTAATATTTAACCAATAAATTTGCATAAAACATGAGAAAAAGTTGAATTAAAAATGTGTCACCCATATGTTAGAGTTAGGGCAGCGCTCAAATATTTCAAACATAACTTCTACAAAGATTTATAATATTTCTGTTTAGCAAAGAGAGGAGAAATAAAGTTTACAATGAAGGGAGATGGAGAGGGATGAAGACTGACATTTGTGGTAAAAGAAAATAATCTTCAAGCAAACTGAGGATTATACAAAATACCATATAGATATATAAATCAGCTACCACAGTACAACTATACACTCTATTACCATGTAATAATTGTTATAACTTCCCCCACGTTGGAAAAAGCGAGCAACAGCAAATGCATTGTCTTCAACAGGTCTATGTGGCAATCTTCCACCCCAAGAGGCATACCTTCAAAATAGAATAAATTTAAATCAATGTCGACAAGAAAAAAAGATCCATCTTCCATAAGTAAATGTTAAGTTAGTTGATGTGAAAAGCACTAAACAGCCTTCTATCATGGCATTTGGACAAAAAAAATTAGAAATGATGCTGAATATAGGGGTACAAATTTGCTTTTCCACTCATCAAAGGAAAACAAAACATTGGGAATCAATGCAAACATGGATGTAGCTTAGTATTCCAAATGATAAAGTTAACAAAACTTATAGTAAGCATAGAGAATGATGTGGAAGTAGAATCATCAATAATCCATCAAGATGAAATTCTCTAACCTAGAATAAACCTGCAAGAAAACGAAATTATACTAATATATATCATATATGCATGGATGCATGGAAATATGATAGATCAGTCGATCGTCCACTTGGTAGAAAAACAAAAAGAATCAAATGGCTACTGGGTACATTAACAAAATGACATGCTTATTACTAGGAACTAGAGAACTAGCAAATTGATACTGAGATAAAGGGTCTCTAAAGGAAGATTGGAGAAAGTGAAATTTAGAGCAACATGCAGTTTAAACTGATTGGTTTGCCACGCACAGGAGTTTGGTCATGATTTTCATAAACCTAGCAATTTATTGTTTTAATTTTTCAAGAAGCAAATAATTTAGTCATTTTCCATAGGTTTGAAATCAAGTCATTTCACAAAGTTGATAACACCGATATTATATTTATTACCTAAACCATCCATCACAAATTATAATCTCCTTACACCATATATATGAGTTTAGTACTTGTTAATATTTTTATATATGTTGTCATTTTTATTTTATTTAGCTTTATTTATCTTTGTTTCAATTTTCAGGGGTTATGGTGTCATTTTCCCTTTTGAAGTAATTTATTGTCATATTTTCATTAGGATAGTTGTCATTTTGAGAATGTTCTGCCACTATAAAAAGTAGCTCATTGTCATGTAATTCATTAGACATAATGATTATTGAAAAATTGCAAATTTATGGCTACATTGGGAATTTATATGAGCTTCTTTGAGGATTCAAACGTTAATCGGCGTGATGATTTTCTATGTATCTTGTAAAATTTTATAACTCTCTCCACTTCTACAATTTTTCTATTAACATTCAATTCATCCACCTTTCTGCTACCTCTTCTACATCGGTTTTGTATTAGGTCAGCTTCCTAGGTACAAGAATTGATGGCATGATGTAGCTAATATTGTAATTTCTTTAAAATATTTTATGATAAATTTCATTTCTTTCTATATGAGCTATTGAATTTAATTTCTTGCAATAATTCATTATATCTCCTAACTAATTATTGATAAAAAATTAACGTTTAAGGTGAAAAAAAGGAGTAGAACGTTTCATGGAGCTGGGGATTATAAACAGTTGGCAGCCAATGGGGTTATGCCAGTCGGCCATACCTACACAAACACTTCTGAAAGCAACCATGGATAGATGTGACCGCAGTGATCCTCGACTCATCACAAGCAACCTACCCTCTAGAGGCTTTACCTAAAGGTTCATCAAATAAGTTGTGTTGCTCATCTCAGCCTATAAGACCAGTTTTAAAAATAATAAAATTAAATTAAATAAATTGAATAATCTAATGGCGGTTTAAAGAACAAAATATAATTGGTTCGTCATAAGAGAGGGGGTGACAAATATGTGGGAGTAAAAAAGAGAGAGTGAGAGATGGAAAGAGAATGAGCAAGCAAGCAGACAAAGGAAAGACGAAAGCGAGCATAGAGAGAAAGAGTTCTATTGGGCTATCAACAAAGGAAGAAAAAAGAGCAAGTAGATGAGCGATGGGGAGAGGGAGATTTGTTGAGCATAGCTAACAACCAAATCGAGCAAGCGTTAGGTTTTCTTTTTTCTTTCTTTTGACTAAGTGCCGAGTCAAACTTTATTCTTCTATCATCTAAGTTTTGGAGATAAAAGTAAACTTATATTATTTATAGAGAACCCCCATATTTAATTTTCAAATATTTCAAGAAATTTTATTATGATTTTCATTTGGGAGGAAGAAAAACAAAATCAGTATGAAAATTTTATTTAATGGAATATAGAGTTTTAAATGATATTATAATTAAATGAGAATAATTTATATATTAAAATAATATTATTTGATCATGATGCCACGCACGCGCGTGTATATATATATATTAATATCCTTTTGATCACAACAACTCTTTTTACCTGTCGGAGAACTAAGATTTGTCAATTATATTATGGCCAGCGTCCTACTCATGGTGATTCAAGCATGCAAAAATATAGGGAGATCCCGATTTTTGCAAACCTGTTACAAGACTTCGTAGGCTATAAGAAAATACACCAAAAACTTAAAAATATGAAAAATTACAACTTGTACGACAAAAAAACAAACTTTAAAAACTTTTAAATAAAGCATGACACTTACAAACTTTTAAGATAAAACAAACACCTAAATTTTCTTTCTTGGATTTGAGGAGAAGGATACAATTGTAATGGTCACATGCAGAGAGAAAAATTAGATAAGAAGCTAAGACAAAAGAGGACAAGCTCGCAAGCTTTTCTAGAAGATGAGCAGAAGAGGTGGAACAAGCTCGCAAGCCTTTCCAAAGAAACCCACAAGTTTTTCTTTGGTATTCCAAAAATTACTTCATCATTACATTTTTTTTATTCATACAAAATATCTCATATTTATAAGAGAAAAGGGGCAGCCAAACAGCCATCAACCTCCAACCAAACCAATCAGGTAAGGGAAGATAGAAAGCCACAATTCATTCAATAATCAGCACCTGAAAAGGCACAAGAAATCTGGGTAAAACACCCACGGGAAATCAGATAGGGAACAAACCGAAAAGGCAGCACAGGAACCGGGTAGAGGCAACCACGGGAATGCAGCCAGGGAATAAACCGAAAAGGCAACACAGGAGACCGGAACCAGCACCCAGCAAAGGGAGAAGGAACAGCTCACGGGAAACAGCACTAGGGGAGAACCCGAAAAGGGAACAAAGAAGGGGAAAAGACAAGGTTCCAACTCCACATAATGAGCTTTCAAGTGTAATTAATCCTCCAAATAATGAGCTAAAACATCAGCTCAAGCATTAATGAGCTAGAACCAAGTAGCTCCCAAAAATTAGCCATAAACCAAAGCAGCTAAGGCCCAACCCAAGAGCAACCAAGGCCCAACTCGAGAGGCAACAAGCAGCCCAAAGACCAAAAGAACCCAAGATGTTTTGACCCCCCCCCCCCTTTCCTATATCAATTCTCCTCCAGTTGAAAGAGCTCATCTCCCGATGAGGTTGCTCGCAATGAAAATTGATTTTTGTCTTCGGAAGATTTCTTTTTGTGAGCGACAATCATCCAATGGACGGAAGAAATTTGCCCTTCGATGATGGCAGTAAGTTGAAAAAAGTATTCTATCCACATATTCCTCCACATTTTGATCTATCTCTGGGACAATGTCGAAGAAAGGTGATTTAAGAATATCGACTTTACCTTGAGCATTGTAAATGAACCCGTTGTCGACTTCAGGATCGGCCATTTAATGGATACAACCAAGACTCAACAAAACTTATAATTAAAACTAACATGACTCACAAACAAAACTCATATGATACTCACATACATGACAACTAACTTGACACCAAAACCTAGGATAAACTAACTTGCTCTGGTACCAAATTGATGCACACAAAAATATAGGAAGACCCTGATTTTTGCAAGCCTGTTACAAGACTTCGTAGGCTATAAGAAAATACACCAAAAACTTTAAAATACAACAAATTACAACTTATATGACAAACAACAATCTTTATAAACTTCTAAATAAAACATGATGCTTACAAACTTTTAAGATAAAACAAACACCTAAACTTGCTTTCTTGGATTTGAGAAGAATGATACAATTGGAATGGTCATATGGGGAGAGAAGAAATAGATAAGAGGCCGAGACGAAAAAGGACAAACTCGCAAGCTTTCCTAGAAGAGGAGTAGAAGAGGTGGAACAAACTCGCAAGCCTTTCCAAGGAAACCCGCATGTTTTTCTTTGGTATTCCAAAAATTACTTCATCATTACATTTTTTTATTCATACAAAACATCTCATATTTATAAGAGAAATGCGGCAGCCAAACAACCATTAACCTCCAACCAAACCAATCAGGTAAGTTAAGATAGAAAGCCACAATTCATTCCAGAATCAGCACCTGGAAAGGCACAGGAAATTCAGGTAAAACAGCCACGGCAAAGCAGCCATGGAACAAACCGAAAAGGCGGCACAGGAACCAAGTAGAGGCATACACGGGAAAGCAGCCAGGGAAGAAATCGAAAAGGCAACACAGGGGACCGAAACCAGCACCCAGCAAAGGGAGAAGGAACAGCTCACGGGAAACAGCACCAGGGGAGAACCCGAAAGGGCACAAAGAAGGGGAAAAGAAAAGGTTCCAACTCCACATAATGAGCTTTTAGGTGCAATTAATCCTCCAAATAATGAGCTAAAACATCAGTGATCTAGTCAAGTAGTGGTCAACAAGCTGCAGAATCAAAGACTCAACTAACATTAAGACTTTTTTATACATGCAAAGTATTCATAGTTTACATACTGAGGGGGAAAGATACATATATAAATTAGTCAAACAAAGAGATAGGAGTAGTTAGGATTTAGTTCAAGTGAAGTGTATTAAGGATGAAGATTATAAAGTATTTTTCTTATAAGATGATAATCAACAAAGGTGCATGAGATATTTTGCTAAACTTTTAATGAAGGATATGAAAATACCCTAAATGAATATAAAGATTTTTGTTTTTATCGGCGTATTAATAAAACCGAAGTTAGAGACGCTTTAAAGAAAATTAAGTGTAGAAAAGTTGTAGGACCTGATGATATTCCAAATAGAGGTGTTGAAATGCTTAGGAGATGAAGGAATTTCTTGGCTTACTAAACTTCATAATACTATTTTGAAGAATAAAAATATGCCCGAATAGCGGAGAATAAGTGTGTTAATT